CTAACCTCAACTTACTGTTTAAATATAAATTCACTATTCCAGCTTCTCTTATATGTTTACTAAGAGACTCCCTTATGACCACTCTGAATATAGCAGTCAAACATTGATTTTGCTATAGACATTTCTAATTTCTATAACGTCATCAGTTTGTCTTTTAATATTTATTTTTATACTGGTTTAACAGGTGATTTCTCCGTTGACAAACAGGTTGTTAGTCACTTTTATTTTCCCAGACATGCTATAACTTTTTCCTTAACAGTTAATTGCAAAATGTAGCAAATAATTATATCTCATGTTCACGCTTTAAATCATTGCGGTAAAAGATTATAGCCTTTCATTTAAACGGTTTCATGTTACGCTATGGTGTAGTTTATCATTAGCTTACTATACGTCCCCTCTGAGAGGTCCTAAACCTACCTCAAGTAAGGTGTGACTGGGCCTTTAAGTCCATGATGCATCGTTGACAGATATAATTATCGTTGACTTCCACTGTTAACTTTTCACTGAATTTCGGATATGGTTGTTATGAGCTACTGAGCTGAGCTTAGTTTGCCAAACACTTGTGAAACTACCCATTTATCAAGAATTGGAGAAAGTATTTCTGATACATGCTAAGCCTTGTGTGTGATTCTAAAAATCTTTATAATGTTTTTATTTAACCTTTTGTCTGACCTTGACCGAGGCAATGAAACTCTTTGGCATAATGCCTAGCATTTTCTATTTCTCTCCTATTTCGCTTGAAGCGCCAAGTTTTATCATTATTTATTATTGTCTAGTTTTATGATGCCGTTATTTTTAGTAGTGTTTTCTACTGAACATTGTGAAAGTCATTCTTAACAAACACTACTGGAGTAGGAATGGTCGATGCCAGACTATGATCTAAGCTAGGCTTAGGGAGGCAGCTGTCATTAATATAGTATTGTTCAGAGCCCTCCCCCTTCTGCCACCCCCTGGGAGTAGACAATATATGTATTTATTGCTTTTAGATATAAAAAGCAACATTGTACCTAACGTAACCAGTTGACTATCTCTTTCAATCCCTTCAAGTAAATATTGACTTTTCTTTTTACGAAAATTTTTACTCTCACGGCCATAAATACCCTATTATCATCCGATGTTCAAGGCAGATAGTGATCTACACCAATATTTGCTTTCCATTTACGTGTTTGTATGTACTATCTACCTTTGCGGTGTAGTAAACAAAGCAAGGGATTAGTTAACTTGACTTTATCTATTGTGACGTCTGCTGAGAGAAGTCTACGAGGTTTCGTAATATCACTGGCGCCTTACGGTATACTTGTGTTTGTTTTAGTTTTAGTTGCATCTTGTAGATATGTTTTATTGTTATTTTACGTTATATATTAGATAAATTTCTTTAATATTGACGTTGAGAGATTAAATGCGTTCAAAACATTCCTACGTCACTAGATTTTTTTTTTATGTTTCGGGATTTCGAAAGTGTTGAGCTTTTTGTAACGTGAAAGTAGCGCTAGTTGGGCAATCGTTTGCGTATAAACAGTTAATCAGTTTATTGCATCATTGAAAGTGGTTCAAAAACGATTACTTTCCAAACAAAAAACTACTGATGTTAATCTAAACAGTTTGCGCTAAGCTATCGGGCTGAGTATTGTAACCGTGTCATTGCCGTCTCGTAATCTATATTTAGTATCCGGACGCATGCGGGTCATACATTTTCTATTTCTGTCTGCTTTTCCGCGAGACCACTATAAATAGAGTGCATCTTATCATTTCCTTCTAGGGAGTATATCCTCTCTACAATCTTACGAATTGAGCGTTGATGAATACTTTGCATTGATTTGTTTTTGGCTTCATATCTTTATGGGCGATGAAATGAATCTCTAAATTAATTTCGTTGAAATTTATAGCAATTTGGAGTTCATGCTTGATGTTATCATTTAAGACGCTGTATTTGAATGTCGTTTCAATAATCGGCCTTTAGTTTTAGATTAGACATTAATTTTCATTTTAAATTCAGTGCCCTCTTCTTATAAGTGACGTTTACGATCATTAAAGTGAGATTGTGAACTATTCTCGCCGCGTTTACGACGCAGGCGCACGTGCATCGCTTTATGTTGCTTTGCTTACATAATTTTAATTATCTCTTGTATATTTATTAGCGTAAGCGTGTTTGTGTTTGTAATATTTCTTATAAGATAAACATCTTGATTCTACTTGATTTGTTATTATAACACGTCGAATACTCAACATTTTATACGTGCCACTTTTGATAGCATCAGCAGTTAATAATTATAAATGACATTCCAACTTTTCAAGATAAGGAAATCTTTCGTCGCTTGTTTTTGGTCATTTGGATCCTTATTTCTTTTCTCCCTTCTCTCTCTCTCTCTCCCTCTCTGTCTGTCTCTTTCTGTATTTAATCCTTCGTATCTGATGATTACATGTCTACAATTTACAACTGTAGCTATTGCTAATAATTCTAAGACGAAAATAGGTGCAATAGTGTAAGGAGTATAGTCTACTACTGTTAATGCTTGCTTGTAATTCAGATTTAAGTGTAGACCTAGTTGAAATTTATCATAAACGTATTTAACAGTTGCAAAAATATATTGAAGACTGAACTTATTGGTTCCATTCACAAAGTTGTTTAGAATGTAGAGCGTTTATTTATGTAGGTCAAATGTTCCTTGTGTAATGTATTTCTGTCTGCATTGACATTTAGACACGGACAAGACACGATTCCGCTTGTAAGATTGTAGTCTCAGACATCTAGACTAGTCCTGCACTAATTGACTTAGCTCTAATGCGATTGCAAATCTTTCAATTAACACTACGTGTTCCTAGGTTACTTTATCCTTTTTTTAATTGCGTCATAGTGTTTCTAAATTTTTTTAGGATGTCAGCAATCACAGTATTTTTTTTGTAATTATTTTTTTGTTAAAAAGCCTTACACTTACGACACGCTTTAGGATATATATTTTCACGCTATTAAATATAGGGTATGTATTTAATAGCGTATAAAGCTATAGTAAATGATTTGGAATAAAACCATCATGCGGGAAAGGGAAAAATACTACAAGCTAGTAGGATGAAAGATGTAAGGTTTCTATAGTAACGGTAGTTTTTTTTGTCATTTGAGCATTTAAATTTTGACATTTGCAATAAAAAAAATTTTGTGATTTTTTGTTTACAAAAATTTACAGTTTTATGCGAATGAAGTTTAGTCTCGCTTTGATTCCTATGAGCCTAACATATATGGAGGTGCACACACTACTCGATATTTGTTTGTACAATAAACAGTTAAATTTGGTGTGGAACAAACGACAATCGCAAATTTTTTCGCAAAAATGTGCGCCCGATCTTAAGTTGATGTAATCTTTTCTTGTACTTAGATGTTTTTTACACTAGTTGAAAGATTTATTATTCAAATACATTCAAGTAGGAACGGAAAGAAAGCGTATCATGTATTTGCATCCTATGGCGTTTACATTCTATTACTCGCTTGGCATTCACAGTAAAAACAACGTTACAATTGTAAGCAACTTGTTGTTTATAAACAAGGTTAATTTGAAAACAATGATATTAATTCTTAAGCATTTGAAAAAGGAATGATCGATTGACTTTGTACATTTGTGCATCAATGAATTAAATCTAATCTTACTAATATTATAATAGCGAAAGTTAAGATGGTTTTTGTTAGAGGTTACCGCCTAAACGACTGAACGGACCTCGATGAAATTTGGCACAGACCAGAACACATATTTATTAAGTGCTTTTGTTTTTGTAATAACGAGTGTAGACAATATTCGCGTTAATAAACCTTTAGAGCGGGCGCAAACCTTTGACTAAACTATCGTACAACTGTAATGCGATTGTCGATTGTTTCGTAGCCATGCAACTGATTAGTTGCACAACTAATCGAGTAGTGTGCGCACCTCCATATAAACTCATAAATTAAAGCGCGACTAAACAGTTGTGCGATAGTTTAGTCAAAGGTGTACGCACGCTCTTACGGTTCGGTACTATCAGACGAATGTAAACCAGAAGTTGTAAATCAATAAAATCTAGGTACTCTCTGAAATACGATGTTACATTAAGATAAATCATAACAGTGAATAATCATGTACAGAATAACATCAAAGGTAGGCTGGCGTAAAACGAAGGAAGAAGTATTCATTCCATTACATTTATTGCTACGGAAAATGTACTGAGTAACTAAGTTTTTATCTTTGTTTTATAGACTTGGTATCTATATTATCTAAAAGTAATGAGTGGTACTACAACAAGCGAAATTTAATTAGGTCGTTTCTCTCCATCTTAAAATCATTCCTACCAGCCAGCTAAATTCAGAAAAAAAGTTGTACAAAATATATTGGTAGTTCTGGTGTTAATTTTTAAGTTAATCGAACTTCTAATCTATTGAAATAACTCAAAAACTACTGAACCGATTTAAAAATTTATTTCACCAATAAAAGACTACATTATCACCGAGTGTATTAAGTCTTGCGGACGTATTTTTTTTTTGACTGAGTTGTCACTGTTTGCCTTAAGGAGGCATTTACAGATTCACCGGGCTTGAGGAGGCCGAACGCAGTTGGCGCTTAGCCTAAACCTCTTTTATGAGTAACTAGGCTCGAGGGCTCCCTCAGGAGCCTCGGCTCGGGCCGTTACTTCGTTATTATTACTGGATTGGAAGGCTACCGAGCTCTTAGATCGCTTCGGTGGACGCTCCATGGTGTGACTAGGGACAAAGGCCCCCGAGAGGGGACCTCGGCTTGGGCTGTCACTCAATACGCGCTTAGCATTCCGATTCAAAGGCGCCCGAGAGGGCGGAACCTCGACTTGATCGGTTGCTGCTATCTGATTACTTTGCGGACGTAATCGCGAGTAAAAGCTATAGTTAATAATATATTAATCAAGAAATCTACCTTACGTATTCAAAAAAGAATGTCTGAATTATTTCCTGCGGAAAGAATATGACAGAATTCTATTGATAATAATAAAATTTTATTATCTGTTTGGATAAGTCTAGATAAGATATGGCTGAAATTTGAAGTGTACTGGTGAGATATCTTCACTATAGTTCCATGAATTAATTCATTGTTCATAAATGAATATGACTAATATTTGCTATCTTTAAATTTCCAATTAATTTACGCATCCTAAGATAAACTTTAGTAATTCGATTAATAAGCTTTAGTCCGCTTATCTCATTTAACCTACAATTTATAAATATTAAAAATAATTTATTGGCAATGAGCATAAATATACTTTATCGTTTCTGCACAATATTATAAAAGTTTACGGGTAAAAAAAAATGATATAATTAGATGGGATCACAGTATAAGAGGTGGTGTTAGTGGCTTTGTAATATCAGTACATTTAAAAAAAAAACAATGTTACTATGCTGGCCTTATCTGATACGCATGTATCAACATACATGTCAATGAGTGCGTAAATATCTCGTGTAAGACTTCGAATGCCACACGCCATTTCTATAGGCTATATCCGTCATCGCTTGACACTTCGAACTTAACTTCGTAGACATGTAGGTCTTATAATAGGATCTGTTTTATTACATGTTGGCAACAAGCACTTATTTTTCTTTTTGTAATGTTGGCAGTACGAAAAGACTAGCTAATAGAATGTCTAAAAGTAGCGTACGTAATGATTACCTTTTTAAAACAAGTTTATAAAACTTATACAGTTCGAGTAAATATGAACGTATTTTTATTGAAATCTGTGGTCTCTGTCGTTCTGTTTTGTCGGGTTCGTGTTGAACATTACCATTGTAAATTCTTCTTGTTACAGCTTGTTAGAGAGCACGCTAACCGGCGAGCGTGTTTACATATCTTATCACGTCGTTTACACCCCATTAGTTTGTATTCACGCTTCATGACACGACCTCTTTTTACTCTTTGACACGAGCTTATAACTAGAATATTTGTGTAAGACTATAGGACTTCTGCGTTGGCGCAGCGACCCAAAGTGGGTCTTGGCCTCCGACACGAGAAACGCCAGCGTCTTCTGTCCTGCAAGTCGATCGACTCTAGTTCATGAAGGTTCAACTCTACGGCGTCTCGCCAGCGGTAGATAATCGGCGAAGCCAAAGCCCAAAGTACTATAATATCATTTTGAGACTTTCTCCGCTTAAAAATCCTACGAAATATATCTTTATTATTTAAATAAAATGAATAGGATGACAGCATGTTTTAATACAGGTTTAGACAGTGAAAACTCACGCTTAGTTCACATAAATGTGTATCGAGTGCGGTATGCGGTGCACGGGCGACCCGCGACCCCGCGCACAAGGCAACTTGCTAATTAAATTATAACTGTCGTATTGCCCTATTAAACTGCTTTTTATACTTGTAATAAGGTCATTAATGTTTCTGTTTTCATAGTAGACATCCTTGTAATAATTAAATTTAGGGCCTGTCCCACTAAATTGTAAATTGTCTTATAACAATCGAACGTATCTGAACATAAAATATGTGATGGAAATATTTGAATTTGTTCCCTTATCCAACGGCGCCGTCATTTTAAGCTATCAAAGCCACTATCAGCCAGTGGTGGGACAAGGCCTAAACAATTTTTAATCTTTGATGATTTCCATTTTTATACGTTTCGTTTTTTACTATCGTTACCAGCTGGGGTTGAATGATTTCTTTCTTTTCGGTTATACCAGAAGTAGTACAGTACAGTATTACGATCATAGATTTCGACTATGGTAAGAGCTAAGTCTGTGATGTTTTGCGTACTTTAGAATGTTATAAATGGATTGGTTGTATTAATATGCCGTAGTGTAGAGTTGAAAGCAATTTATATTATAAACTCGGCAAATGTGAAGCCTATAATTAGACGATAGACGAACAGAAACATTACCCCTTTCTTCCTGTGCAAGTTTGAATATTGCATTTACGCACGTAATGCAATGTTTTTGTATAGTTTTGTTTTGCCGACATTACATACCCGATGTGTTATGTTGGGCACGTACTTTGGCGAACTGCGGAGGTCGTATGTCTTTCGTAAGTATTGATTTTTTTATGTCGTTGATTCGCGATACTGTCTTGTATTCAGCCAGGATGTTAGATAAGTTTAGTTTTAATGTAATATGATGAGTTTGAAAGAGTGTTTAACAGATAAAGATTCCGTTACCAAATAAATGTTTATTTAAATAACAAATAGAAAAGTATTTGAATTTTGAATCATTGCTAGTTTGGTACCTAAAGGGTTTTGAAAACCAAGATATCCTTCCCCTGTGACGTCAGTCTCGTTGTTTTAATTAACTATTGTTTGTTTCTTAGATGGTGTTAACCGAATGGATACGGCTACGGGACTACAAGGGCGGTCGGTCCCGTAACGTGCTGGGCCGAGAGTTACCGGCGTGGCTTTGGGAGGTGTATAAAGTGGTTGGCGTGTTCCTCTTCGGCTGCGCCTGCCAGCAGCTGACTACAGATGTTGCGAAGTACACTATCGGCCGGCTGCGACCGCATTTCTTTACTGTGAGTTTAACTTCCTTATATTGGTGAAGAATGATATTGTAGTTTATACTGCGGTGATTTTAATATCTCTATGACGTCGACTGATTATTGGACCAGCATTTTTTATTTGAGATATGAAGAAGCGTATGAAAGGTTAACTCGAAAGATATTCGAATACCCGGCATATGTGCGCGGATTGAGATCGTTTTGAACACGTCGTATTAACAAATTAGCAATCATTACACGATTTCTCACACTATATTGATTACTGAGAAGTAGCCATTTGTAAACTGCAACTAAGTATTATAATGGAATGTCCCACCACTGACTGATAGAGGCTCAGATAACTTAGAAATCACTGTCAGATAGTGTATCAAAACCCGATACTTCTATCACATATTTTATAGGTTGGATTGTTGACAATTTACAAGAATTATTGGACATGCTCTAAGTGGTGTAATTTTTTCTATCCAACACTTCGAATGCGAAGTTCTTTTAATCAAGTTTCTGATTAGACATATCGAAATATAATATTTTTATAAATTTCAACACTTTAATCGATTCGACATTGCTTTCGCGTTTGAGCAATAAGTCGTATAAATGTAAAGTATTTGCAATTCTGTGAAGGAAACGAGCAATAAATGCGAGAGACGATTACATGATTATGAAATGTTTCATTTATAGCATGCTATAATCTGCGTTGAAATGTTACAATTGAATAGATCTTGATAAGTAGAATTAATATTCCCGTTATGATTTTGCAATACAAACTTAAACATTGTTACTATTGAAGTAAAATAAATTGCACCTAAGATTATGGAGAAGTTGACCATTTTATTTATTTTTTTCTTGTAGGATATACATAATTATCTCTGTCAAAGAATTTATTTTATTTTATTTATTTTTTGGGTTACACATTAGCAGCTAGTTGGCTAATGCGTGATTGTTGTATAGCTCGGAGATTATAAGTTTATCTAATTTATTTTTAAAAGCGTTGACTGTTGGAGAAGATTGAATTTATTCCAAGAAGAATAAATTAATAAATAAAGTCAATCTGTGTGGGCATAACGTGCAAAAAATTGTAAAAATCCTTCGTAATCCTTCTTTGTAATTTTATGTTTGGTATTTGTAGTTGCTTGAAGAATACTAAAAGTAGCCAATATATTACGTGGTTACAGATAATAAAGCATTTGTAATTAATGCTATCCAGTTAACAACCAAGGTAGGACAAGTACAGCATTATTGTAATCATTTATTTATCCTATTAGCATTCATGTCGCAGTCCTCGAGCTATTACATAAATTATCTTTACAAGAACCTCATTCATATAGTCTGACTGCTCTAGCCATAGACGAAAACAAAAATATAACCTACAAGTTGATGCTTGCGACTTCGCCCGCATTGGATTAAAAAATAGTAAACACATAGCTTATGTTACTAAGTGATAACGTAGCTTTTGAACGGTGAAAGAATTTTTAAAAATAACCTAATGTTTTATGAGTTATTTCAATACAAAATCCAATTCTTTCTTCTTAGTAATATTAGTATAGATAGCCAATCAAAAATAGACCATAAAGTAGATTAGATCTTCTGTCCTGTAATATGTCTGTGACGAATGATTTTGCAATAAAATTTGTTTGACAAATGTTTCCTTTCCACATAATGTATTAATTAGAGAATAAGCAATAGAAAACACTGACCTATTTATTTATTGGTGCAAAAAAGGCAGTTTTTCTTTAATATAAAAAGACAATAAAACGCATTTTAAATGAGATTTATTTTAAAACCAGACAATTATCTATAATAATAGGTGTGCAAGAAAATAATTTTATGACTGCTTTAGTAATTGCGAGTGTAAATTCTTTCGTTAAACATTCAGATAATTGCTCTAACAGCCTTGCAGTAAGTGCGCATTGTAAAAAATATTCCAGTCTACTTTTACACTACTCTTTGCCGTTTTTCTGTCTTTTGTTTTAGATTTAATTTTGAAATCAAATCAGAATTAAAATTCTAATTTATCGAACTTATAGAATACTAGCATACGCCTGCGATTCCGTCTGCGTGAAATTAAAAAATGAAAATAAATTACCATTCAAGACTTCTCTACATCTACGACAAATTTAGGCTACAAACTCTAACAAACATCCATCAATCCACCAGACGTGTATAATATTAGTATGAATTTTGGGATAACTTTGTAATATTTATTTTCGCATATATATTTTTATAACGGAACTTCCTTAATCTCGTCCATAACTACTACTGATTTTATCGTCGGAAATGGCGGCGCGCCACTCGCCTAGTGAACGCTGAATTATAATAGAATTTTGATGTTATAAGGAAATTGTAAGTTAGATCTTTGTAAATATTATATTCGTAGCTTAATATTTTCCTGGTTTTAAATTATAAACTTGTCATTGACCTCTATGCAATATCCGTAGTGCAAAATTAAAACTATTTTATGAGATTATTTTTAGTAGTAAATACAAACAAATTAAAAAGGGTTATTTTAGCGTTTATAGTCGAGATTCCAACTTGTGTTAAAGGTTTTAACTCTAACAATACGTCCTGAGGGCCCTGTACAGACAACGAGTGCTGGCCTCTACCATTACTCTGTCAATCAATCCTCTTTCAGTGTCCCGTCCCCTTGTAAGCTCGTGCGTTGCGTACAATGATTCCCCGCAGTCCCTTTCAAAACACGAACACTCTAGAGCCCGAGGATATACCGGTTTAGGTTTTCATTAGCGCTTGTTCGCTTTAAATCATCGTTAATGTTTTTTGACATGGAATATAAACTGATTTAATAAATATTTTAGACGTTAATAGATTATATCGTTTAGTTGAAATCTTACTAATATTATAAACGTGAAAGTTTAGATGGATGGATGCTTGTTAGAGTTTGTAGCCTAAACGGCTGAACGGATCTAGATGAAATTTGGCATAGGCGCAGAGGATAGTCTGGAAGAACACGTAGGCTACTGACTTTTGTTTTTT